CAACCATTACAAAAACTTTTTCTTTCTTTTTCATAAAATCTAGAATAGGATTCATTTATATAGTACATTCGTGATTATACGAGCAGCGTTTTTTCTTTGTTTGTCTCTACTCTCAACGCTGTATTAACTGTACAATATGTTCGTGACTCTCGTGCTTTAATCTATCCATAATATTGTTAATAGATGGCGCTAATCTCTGGAGAAAATGGAAGTATTATATAATTAAAAGTCTCCATCTGCAAATATTATTGGTTAGACGAGTGACTCAGGAACGAAAAGAAAAGAAATCAATCTGGGTAGTCGTAATGGAGTCAACGAGCAGTCAGTCAAGAAAAAAGCAAACAGAGAGTATGTTTGCTTGTTTTTTTTAATTTCGCACAGTAGAAGCTACAATGAAACGACGTGTTTATCGTTTTTATATTTATACTCACTTTAATTCTAGATATTGATATGATGATGATGACGCGTAGTGGAACTCTAGCTGCTGCAGCAGCAACAGATGCAGTTACATTATCAAATTCTAAGAGTTCACATCCTACGTCTAGCCGTCGTCCACGTTCACAAGTAACAAAAAAAATATTTAATAAGAATAATAATGTTAGTGGTACACATTTGTTTGCGTAAGCATTGTCTTATAGAAAATGATTAAAAATGTTTGTTTTTCTTGATTTACAATTTTAGTCGTTCAAACTCAACTATTGGTTCACGTTCTCTGTCATCCGATTCTTCATCTTGGTCACCTACTAACTCATCACGCTCATCATCTAGCTAGCCTGCCAGGGGAGTTTCCCAACTTCCACAGGGACCCGCAAATGTTTCGACAGAAGCAGAAGGCGATCGTGGGCTGCCGGTAGCCAAGCGTCTAGTTTTTAGGCTAGCAACCTGTCAATTGGACATTAAACAAGTGTGTGAACGCATAAAAATCAGCCTTTTTTGGTGGATGGAATGTTCGGTCATGCTTTCACTATTCAAAACAACAGTTGATCATTAAACAATTACAAAAATGCAATATTCAAATAGCAGCATTACGTGAAATAGCAATTTATCATTC